ATTTTGGCATTAACAATTTGTGTTCTTTTCAACTTAATTATAATAGCTCACAATCATGTGTTTTAGAGTACTTGTCAATTGTGTTGAACTTACAAGAATAACTGCAATTTATGGTGACATGTAAACATAAAACGTCACATGTAGATCATGTAGCAAGATGGTAAATAATAATATTCAAATCGCGTTAAAATTTAATGATACGTCTGTAATCCTAAAGTTTAGGTTCCACATACCCAGAAAAGCAAGCAGGAAAATTGATTAAATAAGAGAAGCAGAATGCAGAGATATCATCAGAATATGATACCGTCAGGAACAACTCATGTGGTCATTATTGCTTCATTTTATCAATGATACCCTGAAAAACACTAAACGTTGAGTAGAAACACCCCTCCAGCAGAGAAGGATACGTGCCAATAAATATATATATATCTACCCATATGCTGGAACCCATTGACAAAACAATCTAGCAAATGTAATTCTCACAATTTGTGATATCAAAAACTACTTTTGATTTTTCAAATATCACAATTAAATTCGATTGTTTATATGATAAAATACATTATTTTACTACTATCTAAATATACTTTAAAAACTCCCAAAGTTGAAACTGCTTTAACATCAGAAGTCACTAAAAAAGAAAACCCAACCCTACAACAGGTGGAGATGTGTTGGATCCCGTCTCGCATAGATATTCATGAAAATGTAAAAGCAAACACACAGGATGGCAAGCCCCAGTGGGTGGCAAGTAAGATCGGGTATACCAAATTGAACCGAAGATCCGCCAAAAGCCATACTCATGCTAAAATGAAAGGAAAGTTCAAATAGCCATCTCACACCTCAGAGTCACAAAAAGCACCATGACAACGTATGTGCAATCAACCTGAATCCATTGCTCACTTGTTACTGGAATGTCAAGACCATGCCCCAGCAGGCTTGTTAAAACAAGAATTGCAGTTAGATCTGCTATCTGTGGTAGATCTCCTAAAGCCAAGAGAGGCAATAGCGAAGGCCAAACTAACTCTATTTCTGAGAGATGGACAGCTCCTCGAACGTAAATAAACAGAGCAGCCAAAGATAAAAATGAAATTATATCAATATACGAAAATAGAAATCAAATCAATACAAAAACAAATTCTATGAATACCAGAACTCGCAAAAGATATGTACTCTACTGACACACGTGAGTCCAAAATAGCCGAAATTGCTAAGGCAGAAGGCGACCTCTTAAACACTTAAAGCAACAACAATAACAATGTGGAGACGGGCTCAGATCATTGACAAAAGCGGACGGATTGTACGGCTGGTTGTGGCATCGGCCAAGGCTGCCGCCTCACCAACGACCAGTCCACGTCCGACTTCCTGACTTAGTGTAAGTGTCAGACCGGTCTCTGCCAGGAATATTGGCCACTTGGTCAGATATCCGTTCTGTCACGTGATTACCATTGCGACATATTTTAACCTGCAACAATAAACATGGTTGCTGCTGTCTTAAACTTCACCCCTGAATTTTATCTTCCGTCTCCACCCTGAGCTACCATACGAGGGCACAACTGGTACGCACTTGGACATATCCATGTAGCGTGAGTTTGCTGTACCTCATGCACGATCCACCTACCCTAATTCGCAGCAAAGCAAATAGTAGTGCAGAGGTGATTGGAGACAGAGACACGCCAGCCGCCATCTTGACAGGAGACCGAAGACAAGACAGACAGCAGCCAAGCCAACCCAACCCGATCAATAGCAACATGACAGCGGCCTAACCTCCCCGATTGTCAGCAAAAAGACAGCAACCTATACCAGCAATCGTGACAATTATTGACAATGACAACCAGACCCAGTAATATTCATACAATCATGTGAGTACGTGAAGTTCTACCAACTACCATTCTACCAACATTTGAGATCTAGTCGACCGACCTCAAGATTCTTCAGCAAGTAATTGTGTGTGACAATAGATTTGAACTTTTGTTCGAACTCTCAATGTGTACTATGTTTTACACATTCTCCCGGACATTCTTGTTCGTTATGAGATATGTTAGCTATCATCAAGTCATTGTTTCGTTCATGTTTTCTATAATGAGTATGTATTGCAGTCTATGTAATTCTTACGAAATCTCTACCTCTATTACATCTTTGCCATAAATCCTGTATTTTGGCTTCAGTCACACTAAATAAGATTATCAGATTTTCAACAGACGTCCTCTTCCACTGTCAATCACACAATTAGTTGTTCCCCATATAGCACAATAGCACCCCAAGCTATGACGTGCGTAATGGCGGGAATCTCGCTTCGTTTCTGTGTGTGCTAGAGTCAACACCTATTTTTTTAGTTGTAACGATCTCGCACTTGGTAGTAGTCACATTAGTCTAAGATTATACTTATAGTTTTCAATAAAACAGACATTATGTAAATATTTATAATTGCTAATTGGAGTGACAATCGTACACACGTGAGTATAAGCTGGTGTGAGGTGCGTTGTGAGGTGGTAATGGTGTCTCCCTCAACTCCTGGTTGCAAGAAGTGTGGTCGTTCATGATCACGGGAGATCCTCTTCGTACCTGCTGGAAGTGCTACAACTACTACAGCAGAAACATCATCTCCTGCGATCTCAATGAGCCTGATACAACAATTATTGAAGAAGGGTTCCCCTGTCAAAAGACCACATGGGGGACGTCATCTGTCTTTGCAACACACACGGCTGTGGGACCTACCCAAGCCAACTGTACCAACCAGGCCTTTAACGAAGAGATGGAGAATATGAAGAGTAATCAGATAGCTCTGGTGAAGAAAAATCTCCTGGACAAGAGACGCATGGGGGACTGCCATCTGTCATTACAGCATGGGGGCAGCTGGGTAGCCTTTTGGTTAGAGCATTTGCTCGTCATGCCAAAGATTTGATTCCCAACATGAGTACAATGTTTGAAGCCCAATTCTGGTGTCCCCCGCCGTGATATTGCCGTAATATTGCTAAAAGCGTCGTAAAACCATACTCACTCACTCACGCATTACAGCACACACGGGTATAAGCTTGCAAGCTTTTCCCTACCATGATACACGGGCAACTAGATCTTTGCTTAGGTCCCAGCAGGGACACCGCAAGGACATACACCCCAGGTAAGACACCAAACGGCTGGATGCTGAACAGCCAAGGGCAAGTCAGAAAGTAGAGAAAGAAGACCAGGAGAAGATAAGGAAGAGAGAAGGCTCCACACCAGATGATGCCGACGCCCGCCATGAGGGCAGCTTGCATGTGGGAATCTTTGGGATACGAGTGAACTGGCGAGTATCACTAAATCGCTAACTCACTGAGTCAACTGCACGCTTGTAAAGCTCAGTGTAACTACAAAAGAGACTAATGTTAGCATTGCTGGAAAAGAGGAAAACTGAACAATCACGGTACGGTTGATGTTGATGTTACAACAGGAAATATTGATAACATACAGAAGATAGTGGAAGACATTCCAACATTTAACAAAGAAATAAAGAAGACGAGGGATACAACAAATAAACGAAATACTTATTATGAAGAAGTCACTGAGAAGATCAGACAACTTGAAAGGCGGTGCCTGGAACAGGAGGCGAGGAGTTGATTACTAGTTGGCATAGTAACTTTATTTTCTATGGATTGAAACCAACGTTTAGTACTGCTGCCAGTATGAGTAAAGACAGTGATAAGGCCGAACAGGAGGACTGTGAAAAATTGGTGAAAGAATTTATTAGCAAGGAAATGGGCCTACCTGCTCAAAATGTCAAGGCCATGAACATTATTAGAGCACACAGGTTGGGTAAAATCATCCATGAGAAACCTCAACCCATAATTGCCAGTTTAATGGATTTTATTGACAAAGAACACGTCAAGAAAGCGGGTAAGGAACTGAAGAAAAAACCATTTGGAGTGAGTGATGATTTCTCATTGGCATTCAGGAATGCTAGAGACAAACTTGTGAAAGAGCTAAAAAATTACAGAAAACAAGGTTTGTTATCTGAAGACAATACGTGGCCATTACTGTTTAAATACACAGTAAGGGCCCACAATGATAACTGGTCAAAATGTTAAAATTTTAGGATTGTGAAGTTTTTAATTTGGTTCAGTATAACTGAAACATTTATGATGTGACTATCATTTAATTTTTCATATCATATATTTTTTCTCCAGAGATATGGCTTAAAACATGACCAGCGTTATTAAAAGACCCGTTTGAAATGAGAACTTCCACTGACTCTACATAGTGAGGGGACCCGTGAAGATTGGGGTAGAGTAGATCTTCAGCAACCCATGCTTGCCATAAAAGGCGACTATGCTTGTCACGACTAACGGGATCGGGTGGTCAGGCTCGGGTGGTCAGGTTGATGCATGTCGTTTATCCCAATTGTGTGGATCGATGCTCATGATGTCAATCACTGGATTGTCTGGTCCAGACTCGATTATTTACAGACCGTCGTCATATAACTGGAATATTGACGAGTGTGGCGTTAAACAACAAATAAACAAACAATCAAACCAGCGGTAGCGAGAACTAAGATCAAACAAACAAAGAAAGGGTTGCCACCTTTAAAAAGCGATATAGCGAATTTAACCTCACAATCGCTTAAATTCTGTTGACAGACACTACCTGGATACATAGTTTAACAGAGACGGTTTGTTCCCGGAAACTATAACAGGGGGATAAATGACCCTTTAATCTCATGTTTTATATCTACTACCATAAAAAAACCAAGGGAACTAATGATTTGAATGTAACTATGATTGAGGTGCACATTTATAAACCTTCTGTCTATTTGTGTTACCTCGATATGGAGTTTTTTCAATTGTGGTTACACCTCGTAGGAGGTATTACGTGTAGGATAAAGCACTCCTCCGAGGTTATGGTAACCTCGGAGGAGTGCTTTATCCAACTTATAAACCGTAAAAAAAGCGTTAATAACATGTTTTCAGTAATTCGCTACAGTATTATGCTTCGTTTAACGGTATTTAGGGGTACAACGAAGAATGGGCGATTTCTCGTCCGCACCGTTAGTCACGTGACTTTTTGCACGAGCTTTTCGTGGGCACTACCTCGTGGCACATTCACGCTGAATGTAGCCTAGCGGTACACGATGGACGACACGGATAATGATTTATTTATAACGCAGTCTCAAACTGTCGAAAAAGATGATGATGATGAAAGTTGTCATGATGATGACTTTTATTACCGTTTTAAGGACCCATCGGATGAACAAACTCGATCTGAGAAGTTTGAACAGCGTGTTCCAAAGTCTACCAAAGTCTACCAAATATAAACTTGACTGGGCACTTTCAGTAAATTCAAGAGATGGCAAGAAGAGAGGCGGAACCGGCTCATGAAGGATTATATTAACTTGCCAATGGAATGTCTACAGTCGCAGGTATCAGAAATGAGTGCTTCCGGATTAAATACGGCAATTAAATATTTCGTTTTTGAAGCTGCCAAGCAAGACGGGACCGACTATCCTTCTAGTACAATCTACGCACTATTTGGGGCCATCCAGTCACACCTTAAGGGCATGTATTCGGGTTTAAACATATTTGAGGATGAAGAGTTCCGAGAGGCCAGGGCTGCTCTGGATGCAGTTATGAAAGAAAGAGCGGCCATTGGTCTGGGTGTGTCAGCGAGAAAAGCAACAGAGATAATTACTGACAAGGAGGAAAACACACTGTGGGAGAAAGGTGTGTTATGTGATGACAACCCCCAAAAGCTGGTGGACAGCATTTTGTACTTAACTGGTAAGTGAAAATTTCAGGTTATACAGGTCAATTTGTAGTCTATATATACCGTTTAAATTTGCATACTCAGTAATTAAGGTTAGGCAAAGGTAATTAACATACATTGTATTTTCCTGAAATGCAACATTATGTTACATTGTTAAATTGTTACATGATAAAGGTTTCTATACTTGCTGAACTAACCTCTAATCTTAATACAACCGAAAGTGTCAAGTAGAAAAATCACTTGTGAGACATCGACTTTTCAATGTACAGTTCAAAATTTTCACAGTTGCATCAAAACATGTTTAGATATTGTTTAAATATAGCCAAAATAATTGAAGACTTTTTGGTTGAAATTTAGAAATTTGAAAAGGCTTTGCGAAAGTATTCAGAACATCAAGTTTAATCAACAGTATAAATCCGATATGAAAACTAATAACTAAAAATGTAAGATATAGAACTTTGAAGATATCTTAATTTATTCATTTTAAATGTTTTACAGGTCTACATTTCTCGCTCAGAGGCGGAAATGAGTATCGACGATTGCGTCTTTATAAGGATCCTCAGATTACTGGACCATACACTGACGCCAACGGAAGGTCTTATTTGGTTTACAAAGACGATGTGTCGGAAAACAACGCTGGCTGTCTTACGCAGAGAAAAGTGAGAGCCTATGTGAATCGATTAGATCCAGACAGATGTTATATCCGGCTTTTCAACAAATACAAGAGCCTTTGTGGTATGATGTTTATTGTTTATCGAAGAAAGCTTAAAATATTGTACTTTAAAGTGATGAATTGCTTTATGCTTTCTGTACAGCGGATAGACCATCTGAGAATGGTTTTGATATTCCACTAAAGTTTGATCATTTTTTTTAGAAATAAGTTTATTTTCATTGATTAAAAATTATGATCAATTTCTTTTTTCCATTTTAGCAAATCAGTTGCCAAAAAGACTGATGCCTTTTATTTCACTCCACTGAAGAAGCCAAAGCCTTGGTAGTGGTTTTCAAAAATACCACTGGGCCACAACACGCTTACCAGCACAGTAAAACGCATGTGTGCAGCGGGGGAATTGAAGGGCGGAAGACGGAAGACGAATCATTCCTTAAGAGCCACAACAGCAACGCGCCTTTATCGTGCTGGGATTGACGAACAGTTGATTTGTGAACAAACAGGTAAGTGTTACAAAATGACGAGACTTAAATGTTTTTGTGTGTAATCAGATTGTATTGCTTACTAAGGGTTACTAACACCAGCTTATGAAATTCAGTCCTATTTTATAAAAACCATAATTCTTAAAATCGCCGAGACACACGGTTTTGTTTTGTCTGAAGGTTGAATGTAAGGTTTGCAGGCAGTTACTTAGTCCAGAAGAACAGTACCCAATGTGATGATTTTTGTGTACAATGAAGTCCTCGAGAAACTGGTTGACATGAGGTTTAACTTTTGTTCGGCCATATACCAGCCTTTCAACACACGTCTCACTACATCAGTCATGACCAGTTGTTAACAGTTTAACAGGTGATGCCTCCTAATGAATCGTTTTGTATGCCTGTGATCTGACAAGTTAGCACTGGTGGAAAATAACATTCGATTACAAATATTAGTGTATAATGCTAAAATAAATTTGTTAGTATTCCACTTCTGTGAATTAAAAACAAATATGGTATAGTTTTAGTTTGAAAAAAATGCAGTATTACCATTGTTTACACTTTAATAACATTTACTTTTAGGACATCGCACCGAAGCTGTAAGAATTTACAAGCGTTCCTCAGATGAACAGAAGTCTTCTGTATCTGATTTGCTCTACATCCCTCCTAAGAAGAAGACTCAAACCACTTCCTGCACGGCGGTAAGATCTTCGGAGAACGAGGATGAGGCAAAGACTAAAACTGACGGACCCAAACAAGGTGGCCATGGTGAATCAAAGGAAACCAAGGATGCAGATCGGCATTACTCTGTAATTCTGAATTTTCACTGAATAAACAGAACATTCCGTGTTGTGGTTCTTTCTGGTTTTACAATATCCGATGTTTAACTTCTAAGAAAGTAAAACTTGACTACTGAGCAGGTTTTACTTTTCAAAAGTAAAACCCGTCAACAGGTTTTACTTTTCAAAAGTAAAACCTACACCTGAGGTTTTCTTACCGGAAGACCTGCCCTAGGGTCATTATGTGAAAATGAGCTGTATCGTAAACAACAGGCAAAATCTGCTATAGGTTTATAAAACGAATGTAACACCTCGCAGGAGGTATTACAACGAATGTAACACCTCGCAGGAGGGCTTACAATCATTGTAAACCCTTGATAGAACAAAAACTACAACAAGAGATGCCAAGACGTCAAGGCAGTGTTCAAGTCCGGCTTTTCCATTTCCTGCAAACGCTGTGTCAAACAACTAGGAGGGAAACGAAGATTTTCATTGACTGAGCATTGCATTCTCTCCTGTTGCCATCGCTTGAAAATACCCACAGCCGAGTTATTTTTCATTCGAGTTCGCTTTCAAACAGTACCTTTTAACTTCTCTCTCATAATCTCCTCCGTCATTGGTTCCCTAAAACGAAATTGAAAATCATCCATGTCTTTCTCCTGGGATCAAAATTTTGACTGAGTCAAAAATAACTCTGTCTCGCTGTCAGACATCCTCTTTTATCACTGGCTGTACAATGAATGAGCGTCAGTCAAAGCAAAACGTGTAATAGTCTCAGCCTACGAGACGCACGTGCAGATTTCGTGCCATTGCGAAACCCACGTCCTGAGGTCACCAGTCTCATTGAACCGAGTTCACGACTGCAGGCGATATTTCATCTCTGATACAGGTTATACATTTGAGAGTTTTTATTACCGTTATTTAATTAAAAACGATGTCTATTCGATGAGTCGGTTTATAAGTTGAACAAATCATTTCTCCTCGTGATTACCAGCGACTGTAAACCCTGACATGAGGTGACATACCTACGGCCCCCTCGGTATGTCACCTCATGTCAGGGTTTTTACAATTGCTGGTAATAACGAGGAGAAAAGGTTTCTCCTATACTTACAATACTGTGGCGTTGCATGTGCACAGAACTTCCCATCACAATGGAATTTCACATCTGACACGAACAGCACCTGATGCACTTGCACACAGAAGCCAAAAAGTGCGCCTTTTGGGTAACAACAATTAGGCAAGATCGTCTCTATGCAACCTGCCTGAAAGCAAGCCACCCTGTGAAAGGTGTTTGCCTGACAGCTTACCATAAGCGGCAAAGATTTGGGATGGGCTAGGCAACACCAGGGAGGTGTTGTGCCAATGGCGATACACCATGTTTACAGAAAAACTAACGTTTTACCTCAGATTCACAGATGGGTGAAAATGTTGGCGACGTGGCGTCGAGTCGTATGCCAGGTCAACAACCCTTGGCCATGGTCGGCATGAGGGGGTTAGTGTCATGATGTGGGGCAGTATCACACATGACAATCGAACTGGCTTGGTTATTGTGAAGGGACATTTGACTGGCCAGCGATATGTAGATGAAATGTTCGTCCTGTTATTGAACCATTCGCTAGACATTTTGAGCAGCACCATGACAATGCTAGAATACATGGTGCCCCTTTTACGGATTATCTCCGACGAGAAGGTATACGGACTGCCCCACTAAGTCCCCTGACATATCCCCAATAGAGCGTCTGTGCTAAGTTCTGGGGCGGAAAGTGTACGCCAGAGACCCAGCACCCGCCAACGTTCGCCACCAAAGGCAACCATAAGCATGTTAATCAATGGTATGCCTTCAAGGTGTCCAACATGACGGATACCCCATGCAGACATTGTTCTCCAAGCCCGAAATCATTTTTACAGACATTTGTCTTCCTTACACTTTCACTATCATTTCATCAGTTCCCTTACTTCTTCTCGGTAGTATATATGTTCCCCCCCCAAAAAGAAACAAACAAAACAACAACAACAAAAACAACAACAAACAAACAAACAAACCCAAAACAAAGCGCACGGCTGAAAAATCCAACGGTTAATGGGTTTATTTCAAAGCATGATAGGGAATGAACTACTGTTCTGTGAAACATGAAATTTCACACAACTGGAGCAACATAGTTTGTCTATATGATGTTTGGCATTTCATAACACACACATGTCGTGCAGATGGTCAGTGGTGACGTCAAGTTCAATATCAGTTATGACCCCCCACGGATTGCATTACCGCACGGCAACGATTAAGCATTGACTCTGAGTTCTGGCTTGGGAGGCCCCCCCCCCCCCCCATATTTACAGACCCCCCGTCATATAGCTGGAATATTGCTGAGTGCGGCGTTAAACAACAAACCAACCAACCAACCAACCGTAAATGCAGCACCCGGTAGAAGTGACTAGTGGTCGGCCAGAACGTGGTCGGTCATTGGTTGACCCAGAATGTTGAAATCGTACAACGCCTCGTGAAATTGTACTCGATTGACATTTAGACGACGGGCAACTGATGTCAAAGACTATCTAGCTTGAAATTGGCCTATGGCGATATTGTTGTGTTGCAGAGTCAGGTCGTGGCATAGTTAACTTCGTTCAAATTGCAAACCATATAACAACTTTGTATACATAGGTTTTCTTTTAATAGCCAAGTAGACCATGTACGTTTTCGATAATTTGCACGTGTGAAACGATTAAGGGGGCGTTTTAGACATTCGTGAACAACGCACTCAAAGTGAAAACTTCAAAGCCAAATGACACAATTTCCTATACCAAGTATACATATCCGTATATCTAGATAATCCATGGCGTATTTCAACAATGTTGAAGCCATTTTGATGAAAGATGATAAGAAACATATATCGGTTATACCTTTCTTTCTTTTTGTGAGATTATATATAGGTAAATGCTTCACAGATAGTGGGAGTATCATAATCCCTGAAACCGTTTAAGCCACACACAACTGCAATATGCTTTCGTCACCATGTGCCCGCAAGGTGAAACAAACAGATAATATCAATTAACTGGTAACATATATGTTGCTTTTACATACATTGTACTTTTCATATCGTGTTGAGCCAGTTGCTCTGTCAGCCGCAACAATGTTATATTGCCTCAAAAGTACCTTACGACACGTGCAACATTTGGCGTATATTATCCTGCTGCAAGTGTAGGACATGATCTTGAATGATGTAGTCCCGCTAGCGTACACCATTCAAATTACCATCAACATGACGATAGTGAGTATCGCTAAAACGTTATGGACATATGAAAACCCTTGCACGACCTTCAGAGTTGTGATGAAACTCGGACTCATCTGTAAACAGGATACCGTCCCAGTCTTGTCTCCTGCACCGAGGATGCTGTCTACACGAAGCTAGGCGTGTCTGACGGTGACGTGGGAGCAAAATTGGGCGTTTCGCCGGACGTCGGCACAGGATTTTGTTTGAGCTGTTAATGTGGCAGTTTGGTATAGATGTATCAATCGAATATGGTTGTCTTCACAGTGGACGACCCGCCTATGGCAAGTCATAAGTGTTGTCCTGCTCAAGATAACGACTCCAAAGGAACGATATTGTGTTCCGATGAACATCAGAATGTCTGGAAACTTCGTTTTGTGCCGTACCTATTTGCAGCAAACGCGCCTAGACGTTGATTTCCGCAAGTCGTGGCATTGCGTAAGTGTTGTTTACGGTTAAACAAACGTGTTTTTGATAAGCATCAAACACCTAAACAACCATTGTGTGCTGTTCACATTGAAAATCCACGGGTATGAATGTCATGCTCTCAACAACCACACAAACATCCAAACTGTGCGTCATGCATTAACATGCACGTGGTAGTTGTGAAACACGACCGTGTAAGTCGAGGAGATGTTTTCATGAATATGTATTGAAAGATGCATTACTTAATTTCAGGACAAAGTTATTTTTACTGAATTTTATATGAATTACAATTCCTTTTTTCTGTTAGTATATTTAACAGTGAGCATAAGCATGACTTCAGTAACGGCTTTAGTAACTTAAAATAAATATGATCAGCACTTGCAGCAGTATCACGAGCTTTCCATAAGGCCTCTTAGCCTTGCCCAAAGGCTGTACTGAATGATACGTTAATGGGTGTATAGTAATTCAATCTTTATAACAGGCAAGTCCAGAAAAGCCGACAGCACAAGGACGCCACCAGTCTCTTAAAGTGACAACTTGTTTTTTTCAACTATATAATCTATACTCACACGCAAAAGAAACGCAAGTGGTTTTTACAAATAGGTAACAAACATGGAACCATAAATTGATACGAGTTTTAGCATGTAGTGAAGCCTGATGGTGTTGTCAATATTTTTGGTTGCATTTTGGAAGCCCCGAGTAAGAACGCAATATAAAAAACGAATCGCCAAAACGCACCATTTCAATCACTATGTGGGTATCATGCACCCATTTCTCGCGAAATCGAAAATGCACAAACTGTCACGAACTGTAGTGGGTATAAAACTGTGGCCGATTCTTGGACGTACCGCTCCTTGGTCAACAATGCCACGTCTAACTCAAATTCAGAGAAACCAGGCTATCGGACGTTTGTTGCCCGTCATTTCAACGTTAACATAACCACAATTTACTGTCTCCTGTATCGATAAAATGCTACACAGACCACAGATGACCTTCCTCGGAGCGGTCGTCCTAGGGTCACCGCACCTCGACAAGATCGGCAGATTACCCGTCAACACCAGCGACATCCGTTCCTACAAAAGGTGAAAGTGTTCGACAGACCATAGGAACACATAATCGATACATTAGCCGGGACACTGTGATCCGACGTCTCCGTTCCAACAACCTCAGATGTCGCCGACCAGCACGTCGTCCTGTTCTCCAACCACGGCATCGACAAGCACGACTTCAGTGGGCACAGGGTCATCACAATTGGCGTCATCGTGAGTGGAGGCGTGTCATCTTCTCTGATGAAAGTCGCTTTTGTG